GTGGGATAGTGGATGCTTACTGCTGAGGAGTCCCATAATAGGACGAGACGGCCGTCCAGTGCTTCCAGGTTTTCGATGGTGATCTAGCTTCAATTGACCCATGATTTCAACTATGAAAATTTGGAGTGTGATGAGATTAAGTGTAACGGTATTGTAATGTATTCCACTAATGTTTTATTCGAAATGGAGGTTTGAAAATCAGGTAGGCTAATAGTTAACATATATGAATACAGTATTTTCAAGTTCATTATTACTATTTTAACCTTTTAAAAATTGAAATCTACATCTTTCGAAAATTTTCATGAAACTGAATTGTTGCATATATTATCTGTCCCTTAAGATATAAACTTATATAAATACCCATTATAAATAATTAAACCAATTTTGTTATATTTTCTGGAGTGTTCTTGTTATATCCCCACACGTTATATCAGTTATTTTGGTAATTGAATGTTACAATCGGTAATTACTTATCACTAATCAATATTATATTATCTAAGTCACATATAGCTGGATTAATAAACAGTAGAGTTATAAAGTTTAGTGACTTTATTCGATGATTCTTAGTTGAAGGTACTCAGTAGGAAACCTTGAATATATTTGAGGCTAACGATATTTGGTATTAATGAGCAAGGTTTATGTGAAATCTTATGATAGTCGCTGAGGGCTTCGGATATATATTGGTACTTGTAGTGACAGTTGGAAACATTGCACAGAAATATTTGCCGTGACTTACCTACCGGGGGACTGAGATATTGAAACTGACTAACTACTGAATAGTAATTAGTCCAGTGCTTGTCCAGTCCTTATTGGTAATCAATTTCTTTTGATGAATTTACAGTGTGATTAAACATCTCAGTGCGCTTTATCGACCTTTGCTGTTTCGAAGCTATCGAATCAATACATTGGGTTATTAAAGTTATTTGGTTAGATTCCAAACTTATATGAGATCAGATTTAAAATCATCTAGAACAATATTTTTGAGAAATACCATTTGTAGTAAGACATGTTCATTTTCTGTTCATCATTATTCAAAGATCTTCAGTAAGAAGAAGCTGAATGCTAAGCAGGTTGATTTTAACAATTTTTGTAAGTTTATTTATTTTGCTCATGGGTAAAAAGTCTTCAAATAATAAAAATCCCCGCCATGTAAATCGAAACAACATAACTTAACAGTGTTATTTACAGTCAAATCTTCTTCAGTCTTTACTATACAGTAATATTTACATGTATGTATCAAAATTATTTAATCAAGAAGGGCAATTCGAGTAAATGAGAACATGTTTTCAATGGTTGTCTAAATTAGGTCAGTTTGTGATTAATAACATTCGACTACCTTCTCAAACACACACTGATAATCATGAAACAGATTACATAAATAAGCATGATAAGTAACATGCACAAACTGATAGCGAGATGACAGCAATGTAAGTCAACACTGGTAAACGGATATGATAATGAGAATCATTGAAGGTAATTGAAATTGAGTAATCGGATAGGGGAGAATGTAAATGGAAGGGGGAACAAACATATAATGCGAAGAAATCAGAAAAATAGTTGATTAAGTTATATCCAGTCGAGGAAGAGTTAGGGGTGTTATAATCATCAACCCCTATAGCTACTGTTAAGTGCAAGTGATTAATTCGAAGTCTATTGGGAAAACGCTAAGTTATAAAACGGACCAGTCAAAACGATTTGTTTTTGTCGTCCACATAACCTTTGTAGACTTAATATTATAAGAAAGAACATTCATTTGATCATATCTAAGCTACAGGGATCCGAACTTACGACATCGGTTGGTGTTTATAGTACCCCTGTCCCTTCCTTGACTAAACAAACGATTTCTCTAATTTTTTCACTCTTTATGCTTCTTTTTCTTCTTACGCTTCCTTCCGTTTGTATTTTTTATGCCTTCTATCATCGCACATTTTCAATGATTTCTAATGGTTCTTACTTTAGTATCCATTTTCAAAAGTTCTGAGCTACTTCTCGTGTTGAAACATTGATTCAAGCCATTATTATCTTCATCACTACTAGTATATTTGCGATCTTACTACCAGTTGATACCTTCTGGCTGTTTTAGTTATAAATGTTTAAACCAAGTACAAATTTAATGGTTTGTGAAAATTCGGGCATTGGGTAAATAATGTACAATATTATCAGATACTTATATTTTCCAAAAGAGAAAAAACAAATTCATTGTTATAGCATTTCGTTACTTGAGGGTAAAAGTTCCATCATAAAAGTAATGGAACACAAACATCCAAAGAATACCTCAACAACCGATCACAAAAATCTTAAAACAAAACCCAATATACCAGACAAGACATTAACTGAAAACTAAATCTCACTACTATGAATTGGTTCCAGTTTTAATATTCCCTGAAAACTGTTTATGTTTCAGGAAATAGCGCGAACTGTCAAAGCCACTCCAGAACCACCAACAAATGAACAAACCAAACTGTTACTTGAAGTAACATCACATATTCTACTGGTATAGGCATATATGCACTCTAATATCACTAAACAAGAATAAACGCCTAAAAACTTGAATAGGAGGGACAAAATATTGTTATTATTAAAGGGGGTAAAGAAAATATAACAGTAATTATAAATAGAACTGAATATGGAGAATATTTACTCACTGAGGAAAGGGAGACGTCCAGCGAAATCAACAAGATCAAACTCGACACAAACAAACCTCATCACTGAAAAGCGAAATTGAGAGATTCCTTTTGGTTAAGCTAAAGCCTAAGGCTGTACAAACCATCCGTACCACTAAGATTAGTGGTGGGTTTTGCCAAATCACCAACATACAGTCTCTCCAAATACATATCCTTAACATTAAAACACCCTTAAAATCCCACAGCATGTAATTAAGGATGTTAAATCCAAAAATGGCAGATCAGAAACTTAATGAGGACAAAATTATGACAAGCAATGATATTCACTTACTTTGTACTACCATGCCTATTATTGAAAGTCTTGATTCAGTTTTTGGTTTGTTAGAATCAGACACGACTTTATCATAAAGATGTTCACTGAACACTAGTGATTTGATAAAGACCTTAAAATTCTACTTAATGACGAATCACTACACACGTAAAAGACCAGCGGGTTAGAGATGGTTTTAATTGCATTAGATATAGTTGCAAATCTACACATCAGATAACTTGAAGAAATAATCTCAGATTTACTTAAACCAGAATTTCGACCAAGATAGATTGATGATACATTCGTGGTATTAAAATGTGACATACAGCACTCATCTTCGGAGGAACTGAACAATGAACCACACAGTGTCAAATTAACTTCATAATCGGACTGTATTGTACTATCTTTTGTAAGTTGGCAGATGGGATGAACTGAAAATGGGTATTTTATTTATAGTATTTTCGGAAAAATAACACGCTCAAACAAATGTCTCAATTTTAAATCTTCACACCTCATCAGTGGGAAGATATTAATTGTCTCTTTTGAGAAGAGCACACAAATCGACAACAGACGAAAAGGTAAAGAATAAGGAACTGACAAAAACAAAAAAAATTTGTAATAGATTTCGTCCACTGAATGAAAAATAACAATATACGTGACTTGGAAACTTCTTCAAAACCATGAACAATTATCATTCCATACAGATCACACACAGCAAATGAAATCAGGATAATACTCAAGAAATGTTTGCTGTAGTTTGCGCTAACCTCGAATTCGGTTTTGTTACACAAGCTTATCATTACCAAATCTAGATCTAAACATGTATACCAATTATTTATGGAGTAACTTTGTTTTGTTTTAATTCCATTGATCAGTTTTCTCATGATGATACTAAATCACACATCTTCAAAACCTGAGGGGAAATTCGAATTTGTCAAGAGTACATACAAGAATTACTGTTTATTGCTGAATAGCACGAATCCTACATCAAACAATGTATTCTGACTGCCTTCAGCATAAAATTATACATTACGAGAGACCGAACAATATTCTAAAACATTAGCTAACAGTTACTGCATATATTCGGGTGAAACTAGTAACGGTATTTAAGCGTTCATATCTTTACTTCAGTTTAAATCATTTGTACCAATCTATAGTGATTTATTTATTACATAGTGTTTGTACTAGACAATGATTCATACTATTTGTGATAGCTAGTGATATTACTCACTCACCCAACCTGAAGTAATTTGAACAGAGTTCGAACCTGAAAACTAATAATAGTAGGTATCATTACCAAGGTTTAACTTGATAATTTTGAATAAACTGAGCATTCAATAGATTTTTATAAATAAATAATATATTTGTAATATCTCGATGAGTACAAAACTTAGATTTTCCGATGTCTCGTGACTCAGTGTAAGACACTTCTTCAGAGACTGAATAACCAAATTAACATTAATCCAAGTTTAAATCATACAACGAGACAACACACGAATATTATGTCGTATGATGATGTTGATGATATTTCCATTCAATTAATGAAATAAGAACTGCAAAAATTTTAAACTAACACTCATTAAAAATTACACTTAAGTACATTTTCTCACCTTCTGAAATACAAATAATAACTTCCTCAATTAATTGATAAGGTGTAGATAACATTCAATGACGTAGATTTACACTAACGTTGACACATGACTTTCTGTCTAACATTTGTTCTATAGTATTAGAAAAAATTGTTTTTCTACATAAATGACATTTGGGCTAGTTAATAGAAATCAGTTCTCTCAATCGGTCAGTATGTAACAGATTCAGGCTGATTAGAAAACTGATAGAGACAGTTGTGATAGATCTGTTGATGTCAATGATTATTGTTTTTAACGGTTGTATTCTAAAAGTTATATTATTATTATTACTATCATTATCATTATTAGAATCTGCTATCAATAATTGTATTTACTTCTAAATGAGTTTATCTCTTCTCTCTTTTCATTAAAAAAAAATTTCCTTCTCCACACTTCTCAATGTCCAATGTATTATTTATGAATCCTGAATCAAACTAGATGCTGTATCATGTTTAGATTATTTAAAACGAAGAGAAGTATTCCTTTATAAAATGATGAATGATCCAAGTCATAAAGCAATGCTTTATTTTCTTGAGGTTCTTATGAATTCTGATAGTCCAATCACTGTTGACCAATTAGCAGAACGTTTCTCACACAAATCATTCAGTGTAGAAATGCGTGACGCATGCGGTGGTGGAAGCGCTGATGGTTTACGTGAATTCTTACAACGTTATCCTTCATTGTTCAATGTAAAACCGAATGGACAAGTGACATCAGTCACTATCGAACTACCTGGCTTAGATTCAAATTTCGGTGGTTCATCCGATCAAGAAAGTTGTTCAATAAAAGAAAGTGGTCATAAATCAATAAATGAAAATTTGTCCGACAGTTCTTCTTCATTACAAAATTCCCCTTACAATTTCGACTCAAATTACTCATCTAAAACATGTCCAATATCATGTGTGCAAAAGGAATATGCATATAGTCGATTTCAGTCTAGTCGGAAACCGAATCCTTCCAACACCAATACTAATAATAATATTAATCATAATAGCATTAATAACAATAATCGATTGAATAGTACAAGTTGTTTATCATTAGTGTCTGATCAGTCGATTAGTTCATCCAATGGATCGTCAAACTTTGTAAAAAATTCATCTGATCATTCATTAGGACGTAAAAAGTCGTGGAATAACTACTCCAGTGGTGGTGTCGACCCAACCAGTTACAAAAATGTTGCTAATACTACTACTAGTACTACCACAAACAATGATAATGATGATAATCAAGCACCGCTTGGTTTATCTTCGAAAAATCCTCCAATATTACGAGCAAAACCTTCAAATGTTTACCAACCACCACAGTTACGTAATCTTGAACATGGAACCTTATCAGTGTTATCATCCAGTTGTGAATTATGCTCTTCTTCATCAAATGTCCCTACTACGATTAATAGTAGTGGTTGTAATGCTTTACTAAGTAATCATCATGAATTCTCTACGATGACTAATGGAACATGTATACATTGTCCATTGATAGAATTAACCTGTCACCATCATACACATCACTGTACAACTGCACATCATCATTCATCTTCAGCGCATTGTCATTGTACAACCTCTCCACTGACAGCGAATCCATCAGCTCCATTCTTTCACCATATACATGACCCTATTCATAAAATATCACCAGCACAAAACACATTACGATCTCCATCTATACTGCTACCAAACTACTACAATTTACCAGTAATGGAGAAATTCATACTTGAAAGTGAAGCAGTACACTTTTTTCAACAGAAATTGATTAAACGAGAAGAACGTTGGATACCAATTAAAAGTTTAGCAGGACATTTATCGCAGGCTAGTCCAGAAGTTCGTGCCATAGTTGGTCCACAATTAGAATTTCGACGTTTTCTTTTGAAACATCCACATGTTTTCGAAGTGCAGGGAGATTTAGTTAGTGTAAAAGAACCATTCACTAGTGTTTTTGGGTTGAAAAGGTCTCACGATCGTTTATCAGCTATTCACTCAAGTCATTCGTCATCAAATCTATCTAATGCTACACAAACTTATCTACCACGTAATAAACCATATGAGAGAAACCCTCGGCCCAAATCACTTGTTTTACCGAATATGGTAAATTTTGGACATGTATCAAATGTATCCGATGGTATTGGTGGTTGTTATACACCATCATCATCATCATCATCGATTCAACGATCGACTGCTGGAAGCCGTCATCGCCGTTCAGCACATTTTCTAATTGATAATTCAACAAAATCTCCTCAGAATAAAACATTAACTGAGTCAGAGAGTATTAGTTCAGTGCCGGCAACACCTATCAATTCGAATCTTGTATCAGGCATCAGTAGCCGTGTACAGACAGAAAGACTAGCTGTTGATAAATCAACTAATAGCATCAATAATAATAATAATAATAATAATAATAATAATAATAATAATGGTAATAGTGATGGTGTTAGTTCAACGTCAATGACAGCAGCAAATGATACATCTTCACTAACTAATTCATTACCTAGTGTTACATTAAACACAATGAATAGTATTAGTTTAACTATGTCTGCTAATGAATATCGAGCGATAATGTTTTTACGTAAAGTATTAGAAAAACATGGTGGTTCAGCTGGTCAATCTGGTTTAAGTCTACAAGATGTGATGCAGTTTTTAACTAATAAAGCATCGGAAACTATTCAAACAACAATTGGTTGGACTAAAATTGAATTAGAAGAATTTTTAAGTCAACATAATTTATTTTTTGAATTAAAATCAATTAAAGCATCATTTGATAATGGAACAAATGACACTGATTATTCACAAATAAAACAATGTCAACAACAAAAACATCAACAATTATCTAATTCAAATATTGATTATATTAATGTATGTAATAAACGTTTAAATCGTATGATCAATATTATTATTACTGCATCAAAACAAATTGATTTAAATGGGGTACGTACATTGACAAATCGTTGTGGTAGAATATTTCATATAGCTAAATTATGGGGAATTATTGATTTAGGTAAACATGAACATGTATTTTTTGATAAATCAATATTTCGTCATGTAGATGATTTACAAAAACATTTCAAAGTAAGTTTAATAATTAAATTTAACTGATTTTAACAATATTTTTTCATTGTATTTAATCGATTGGCGGTTGTTTTTTTTACAAATTTTCATGATGAACCATAGTCAGTTAGATGAAGAATCTTTGAAAACTAAGGGATATCAGATAAGTGTTTTTCATTAGGTCTAGATACAATCCCGAATGAAAAATGTAAAGTATGTTACTAGATTAAGCTCAATATGGAGTGTTCACTGAGGTACTTGAAGAACTAACCAAATTGATTGGCAATATTGATTACTCAAATACAATTGATCTAGACACTGGATAGTTCTTCTATTTATTCGTAAAAGAAATGATCAAAACTATAACTTATAGATACACTTTATAGAGTCAAAATATGAAAAGCACATCTGCGCTATTTTGTTGTTAGTTTACTTTCTACATGAATCAATTGACATACATTACTGACGGGCCCAGATATATGAACGAGTGAAATGTCCATTTATTATTGATATTTATTGGATTTAAAGGCCCGTAATGGACACGGTTTTTGAATGCTCTATATTATCCGTTAGTCTCAATTGCATACGCCTTTAAAAATCACTATTTATATGTCATGATGTTTGAAGGGAATGACTTTAAGTGATCTTGAATATTACACACCACTATTCGAGTAGTGAGTACACAAAACAGGTTAACTCATGAATCCTTCTCTAAACAGTTTAAGGGAACTTTAATGGGTACATGGTTTATAAACTTTTGACTACAACATGATTAGTATGTTTATCATGATTAGTCGAAAAACCCAATCACCTGACGAATTTACTTGTTAAATGAATCATAACTCCCTAACCTGTAATGAAGAAAGAGTGTCATAAGTCAGTTTACTAACAGATTCCGAAAGATAAAAGCAGAAAGTATATGCTTTTGGTAAAACAATAGACAATATATATGAGTAAAAATCAATGGAGAAAAGTCACAAGCGAAAGGAAATGGTTTTTATCTCTTTGGCTGCACCAACTTCATACAATCTAGTAATACGCCTAGCAATTTCACTTATGTAAGATAATGAACAAGAAACATATCGACCAGCTTTTTAAACTTTTCTGGTATGATTTCAGTAGTGTTACTGAACGGGGTGGTTTGTAATTTAATCAAAAACAAAATTTAATACCTCAATAATGACTGGTTTCTTTGTATAGTATAGTGTGTATGAGTAACCAAGTTGATATTTTCATTGTATTATATGTAAACAGTTAGACAAATATACACTAACTGTCATTTATCTGATTATGGAACCAACAATACAGGAGAAATAAAGTGTGACTAATCTGTGGATTACATTTTCTTTTATTAGGCTCTAAGTTTCTACCTTCATTGTCGATCAGTTGTAATTAACTCAGACACATTTTGGCGATTCACAAGATGTATCCTTCACTCATTCAGTCAAGCCCAAACTATTGACTTGTAATTACTGCCGATGTATTTTAATGGTTTAATAAATGATGTAGTACTACAAAACTAACAGATAACTAATCAACTGTAAGATGTATAAACCCAGTTGGTATTAACAACCACATCAGACTAAATGACTGTTTTCAGTACTAGTTAAGTTATGATACTATAGATTAATACTGACAGATTTCACATTCATTTTTTTAAATTAACGAAAGTTTCGTTAATTTCATGGTCGGAATTCATCTTATAAATGGGTATGATCAATTGGTCAACCATGAAGTATACTTAACGTGCAGAATGCTCAGGATTTAGTGCTAATGACTTTGTTCTGTTTAACACAATTACAGATATTACAGTGGGATGTCATACTTTATATTTAACTAGGTTAGTCATCATATACACTTCATATATACATGTGTTCATTAATCAATATATCCAAGAAAATTATGAGCGCAACTATCAACATGAAATATCGTTTCACTAGGCAGTTTATGGAAAAAATTGCAAGATTAATCTAATTTGCTCGAAGCAAGGATATCAGTTGTCAAACAACTGTTTTGATGTAATTTGGAATTCTTTATTGATGTGCATTCACAATCTTCGAAACCTTGTGTCTTTGTGGCCAATATCATAGTGTTCAGTCATTAAGCCGAAATCAGTTCATATTGAAAGTTAGAAATGTAAACTAACCATAAGTGATCCAAAAGCGCTCTATACAAAAGATAACAATAAAATGTTTAGCGAATAGCGAAATTCGATAAATGTTATGTGCACGCAAAACAGGTTTAATTTTCGTTTGGTGCATAAGCGTATACTCGGATATCCAGGGAAATATATCCACAAATCTGAGAATAAAGCCAACGATACCGGCTGAAAAAAGTGTAAGATCTGGTGCAAGTTGCCGTAGTTCGTATTAACACAGTAAAAGAGTAGTTAAAGTAATGATTCAAAAATACATACATAATCAGCAAATGAAAGTGTGAGATAACAAGGAAGCTCAATGTCATCACTAAGGCAAATAAAGAATACATTTGGTAGCCTCTGTAATGTTTTTTAACGTACTGTTTATTATAAATCATCAGATTGTAATTATCACATGGACCCCTAACTAGAAAGGTTTCATTTATCGATAATGGTCAGTTCTATCGTCGAAGATATATATATATATATATATATATATATATATATATATAATCCTTTTGTATAACTGTTCAGTAACTAGGCTTTGTATATTTGATCTTGTATTCAATTTACATCGAATATAAACACCATTAACCATTAATTCCACATACACTCTTATATGCTTAGAGACAGTGTATATATATATATATATATATATATATATATATATATATATATACTGTTTACATACTTGTTTTGATACTGGTGAGGACACTTCGTTGGCTTTGATCTCAAACTTCCTCTAGTTTGACAGACTGTTTCTTTATGAACGACTTTTTAAACCGGCAAATTTTTGAGGAGAGTAACGTACTACAATACTAACATTTAGTTGAAGGTTTAAGGATTTTCGAGTGATATTTATAACTTTTGGTACTACTTTGTCTTCTACCTGTCTTAACAGCACGAATAGAATGATTAGGTGGTACCACATTTTTGGTTCCCAGGACAACTTAATCCTGTTTTAAGTTTATTAATAGTTGAAATTCAGCAGCAACAGTTTATGGCGTCATTTTATCGTCATGTTCCATACAGGATAACAACTTCATACGAGATTCAGCATCGATGAGAGAGTTCAGACCAGAAATAAATAATAAGCATTTAAACTGATCACCGGTTAATACATTTAATTTAAATCGTTCTGCTTGTAAATTTACTCTTCCGGCGTAAGTAGTGTAGTTTTCATCAGCTTTTTTAGTCAGCTGTAGAAAGTTATACTGGAAACGAAATAAGGACATCTGTTTACAGGAAGTTTCATTTAAAGATTTAACAGTTTTATAGAAGTTAACTTCTCGTGGATGTTTAGGCAGGACATGGTTTTTATACTCATTAGGACAAATCTTTTGTAACAACAGCCGGACTTTCTATGAGTCATCCATAGCAGCAAATCCCACTCGGAAAATAACTTATATTCTGCCGAACCATGCTTCAAAAGTGTGATCAAATTTGCTGTGTATTTTTTTTGCAAAACCCTCGTCGCCAATTTGTTGTGACTATAAGCCCGGCTAATTATCGTGTGATTTATTCGCCAATCGAAATTCGACCTATACAATCTTAGTATTGTGATAAACCAATGACCTCCAACCGGTATGAGCAGCCTGTCATCCTTATTGGCCCTTTTTCCTCCAAGCCTTTCCACTTGAGTCCAGAACGTCAACAACAACCTTCACTATGCGAATCATTTATTTCGAACATACTTAGTTTATATACCAGACAAACAGACGACATCACACCACAAAATAAGAAAAAACGTTTATACAAGATCAAGCCAAAAGTGGCTGTGAACGTGGGAGACTGTAATCAGTAAACTGAACATAACTCATGAACAGTAAATCGTATAATAATAATATATAGGTTAAAATGAAGCTTATAATAGAAGGAATATAGATATTTACAATCTAGTTACTAAATAGTTTTACAATAATCTCGATAATGTAATAAGAAGACGAAGTTTATCAGAATTATGTGATATATTAGCGCAATACATTTCGAACAATCTGATCACACATATAGTTGTTAAGACAATTTTATATGAAAATTAAAAGGTCAACTAGACAGGTTAAGGTTAGAAAATAAATAAAGTACACAAAAACAATATGATGACTACTTTGGATAATAAATCAGCAATACCAGGGTAGGTTAAGGGTAAGAACAAATTGTTTTTGAACACATAAAGGGGTTTCAATTTCCGTATAGTCAAGGCTTCAATAAACCTTGGTACACGTCCTTGAAGGCTTTTGTCAGATGTCTTCTATACACGAACTCGGGTTGTAGTCAGCCATAAGAATTCCTCATGATGATTACAATCTTTTCATATAAACCATAATATCGAAGAAGATACAACAAGGTTCTCCTAACTACACCATCAAACGCCTTTTCATAGTAAAGGGAGTTGATGTATAGTGATATCCGGTTAGTCCATCTCAACCCTGGAGTTTAAGTCTCTTATCAGAATGATCAGGTCCTTTCCTAGGCAATTCTGTACGATCAGTTGTATTCTCTTATGAAATTGACCTTTGTCGTCTCCACTGCTATAATTGGTGGGGGTAAATCACTGGCAATTCACTCCTTCTTTGTTTTGAAGGATCCATCGAATTCCCATTCTATGAGTGACTTTTGTGCTTCTCTAGACAGCATCAGTGCAAGTCTTCGAGTACACAGGGCACTTACTTCCTCATATTCAAAATACAACACCATTTCTGCTGAAGCTAATCTTTTATGTTCAGCTTGTGTCCAATGGGTTTCATTGATTCTGAGGACCACCAAGTTATATTGTTTCATTTCCACATCTATTTGGTTGGTTTTCACGGTTTGCTACATGGTGCAAACATCCCATGCACCTATGTTAATCGTTGCACTAGTTGTCAGAATGAGCATTGACCTGGCGACTTCTGAAGAATCTCGTCTTTTGCCACGAGGCATTATAACCATTCCGAATGAAGAATCTTCAATCCACAAGGCAGAGTATAAATGCTTAAATTTATTTATTCCGGTTACGGTTTTTTGCAAGGTTGTTTTCTATGGGATAAGGTTTGTGACCCTATGCCCAAATTTCCTTTATCTACGCTTTGGACCAACAGTAACCTTAGGAGGTCTCCAGGGAGTTAAATCTATTTCATAGATCATAACGTTTTACCATCCCCTCGAATATTTATTTTGATATAATTTATTTATTATTGTTTCCTTAGCTGACTTCAGTAAATATGAGATATCTAGTCAAAACAAACAAGATTTCCAAAAACTTCAGAATAATTAGTAATTCTATGTTCGTTATTGACCTGTATATTTTCTGAAGGCTAAAATAGCTTAGAATGAAGTAGATTATTTACTATAATACAGGATTTTAACGATAAATACATAAATCATATAAATAATTGAAATTAGACAAAATAGACCAGTAGGTTTATCAATTGAATAATGCTGTATTCGTATTGAAACCTGAAGATTCTAGATTCGATCGTGTTACTAGGGATTAGTAGAAATTTATTACTGAAAATACTCTCCTGTCTTTAATACTTTTCATATTTACCTCAATCTGTGATTTTCACCTGTTTATCAAAAGTATATGAAATGAAAAAAAAGTCAATGGAGGTCATTCTTCTGAGTGTGCCATTTTTACGTGTTATGGATAGCCTAGGTAGGTACACATGTTATGCATATCTATAATCATTTAGAGATAATTCTTCTTTATAATCATAAAATTACTTCATATTTTTACATTTAGGTTGATGAAATTTTATATTTCAATGCTGTACTTGCACCGAAAGAATCACGTGCAAAATGGCGTGCAACTCATGTTTGGAAAGAATGTGATCGTGAAAATGTTGAAAAATTTGGAGCATTATCTCATATGAAAAAATTAAATTCATTAAACAATAGTCATAACAAAACACTGTTACATAATATACAAAACTTTTATGAATCTGATATAGGTCAACGAAATGGACATAACAAATCAAGATCACGTGAAGTTGCTATCAGTACTATGGATCATGAAGGAAATGTTGGTACTACCGAAACTACAATTTCTACTGCTGCTGATGATGATACTGAAGTTGAAGAAGAAATTGAAGATTTCATCGTTGAAACGTGTACAAATAATAAAGAAAGAGAGTTGGTTAAATCGAATCAAAATCATCTAGTGGATAACGATTCCGACTTAGAATATGCTTTAGCCGGTGATGAAGAGATTGAGGACGATGGGGAGGAACCATTTGTTTCACCGATAGCACATGAAGAAGGTTTACATTTACCAATTGATATAAAATTTATACCAGGTGAACTAGAAGAAGAAATGCAACGTGTGCTTAATTTTCAGTCAAAACACAATCATAATAAAACTGGCATCCATCTATTATCAAACTCTAAATCATCATGCCTTGAATTATACGATTCAAGTCACTCAACAGAATTATGTAATCAAACACAATCAGAACCATGTTATATAAAAAGTAATGGTAATCATACCACTACTGTGATTAATAATAATGACGATAATTATATTTATAATGACAATAATAATAGGCACAACCGACATCACAGCCTTGTGACATCATCAACCGAGTCTACAAGGAAACCAATGAAAAATACCCTTAATCATTTATCGAAAGAAGATAGTGGAACATCGAGTTCGCTATCTGAAATGAGTGGTGTATCTATAGCAGTTCAAACTGTCTCAACAGGTGATATTATGACAACTCAGTTATATCACGATAATAAAGCATAAACCTTGAAAAGAAAAAAACCCGACAAAAACAACTGAAAATATTAAAAACAACTGTCAGTCACTAGCATACATATAAATTAGTAAACAAGTTTGTCGTTAATCATCAGTAAGTGTTTACACTGTCAAAATTCTGAAACCAAAATTATCGAAGGGATTTTCTCTTTGTGATTTCGGCTCTGTCCTCATCTATTCACATTTCTCATTCGAATACATTGATGCATTTCATTGTCTCCAATATCCTACCGTACTTTGAAGGCATTTTATTTGTTCCACTATTGAGTATATAATACATTGAAAACACATTTATAGGCTCTCCTTTATATTCACTAAAATGATTTGATTTAATCTTTTGTGTCATGTTCTCCTTGTTTTTCTGTGACATTAAACTTCTTTCCCATTTTGGAAACTTGTCTACATCTCATTTATATGATGAAAATCAGATTGGACTAAGAGGCCTGTTTGGAAATATTTGGTATTACTGATATAAATAATTATATATCACTAATGGTACTACCTGTTAGTTTATTCGTTAAATATCACTTTCTACCTAAAGCTTTTAGGTGTTAATAAGAATGCTAATTGATTCATTAATAAGACGAATCACTTAACATCTTTTCTTTAGATTTTATTTGTTCCTCCCTCTCTAGTTTATTGTTATTAGTTTTGAACAAGTTCAATCTAAATAAATCATTGTTCAATTATATGGGATCATATGAGATTGACGTGTGTGATCTTCTTTTCTAAGCTCTTTAAAATATCATATTTATGTACCCCTAATAAAATCTGATTGCGTTCTTTTTTCGAAAGAGGATATTATGTTCAATGTAATTTACCATGATTATTTCTCATAAGGTTATTATCAATGTAACAGATTAAACTGATGGAAATGCAATTATTCATTATTTATATTTACTCAGTGTGTTTGTTTGTTCTATTGGAAACATAAATTCACTCTTTTCTCATATTTATTTAAGGTTTTTTCATTCACCATACCTTAAATCACTAAAACTTTGACTTACAGGCGAACTTAAACTAGCTTCGTGTGATTTACTTAGGTTGATTAGTTCATTCGAAAACATCGACATGCTAGGGAGGTAAACACGTTACTGATAATGTTTGCCATCTAATTGTAATTCACAACGTGTCTAAATAAAATGTTAATCACTTCTGAGGTACAGAATTGGGAAATATCGGAGCCTTTATAAAAATCTTACCTTCAAATTAGTGATTTACACCAAAGCATTTCATAATCCTACCTACAGTCAGTTTTTGTTTAGTATAGACCTTGTCCAACGTCACAAGTCGTTTACTTTCTTAATTCGAACATCGCTGTTTCTACAATTTGTACCTTTGCAAGAAATCCACTTCAAAACTACTAACCGGTAGAATGTGTTTATTATCTGGGAAAACGTATTATATATTTTAAGGTGTACGAAAGATCTCTTGAAGTTCTCTTGAAGTCATGTCTGAAACATAAAATTGTGACCTGTTACTGTTCATCATGTGAAATATAAAAATAAAGTGAAAGCATCCAACGCTTTTATTCGTAAGGTCATATTGTTTTTTGAAGTGAATAAAATAAAAGAATGGCACTCAGTTTTACAATTCAAAGAGATGAAAACTCAGTGGTCATACTAGACAACAAAACAAATATTGTTCTTACAACTGGCTGAGACTGGGAAGTTCAAACCACTGAGTTACAGTTAAATAACTTGATTTTTGTATGGTTGTCATGCTACCAAGGAAGAACAGATTTAACCATATGTGTGATCGTAGGTAAGCCTTTGGAGGGATTTTAAACTTCAAAACAGCCGTATAGATCTCAGTCATCATTCATATATGTGGTTCTACTTGAGTTTAGAATCATATCCGTCTATTGTAATGAAAACTGCTCTAAGCTTGATTACAACGACGTTCCTAATATAGACAAGTAGCAGTGCTCGAAGGAACAGACTAAGATATTGTTTGGTAACTACTGACTTCGATATCACGAAATTATGGATTCATGTAAAACACTAGTCATGGTTACAGGTGAACATACACAAGGAAGCCATATTACGACGCATGATGTTATTTTTAAAGTTTCTATTCCGATGTTATCAAAACGCTACCACTGTAGTGAACAAAACACCGGTCGGGGACAATCGAACGTTCTAAGCAAAAATTACAGACTATGTCAGTAAATTCTGAAAACCATACAATGGGCAGTCAATTTGCAAATTAACAACCAATAGTCTCGATCTTCACTGTTTCTTCTCTAATTCCATTGTTCGTGCATTTTCCAAACGATTGCGCTTCATTTCAGTTCTTTCCTCATCGGTCTTCTGCCAAAATACATTCTATGTCTGACCAACACCATATACTACTTATATGGATATAAGTAGACCACACCACACTACTACACCTGAAAACTTGGATAGGATAATTTAACGAACCATTGGAAAATCTACCGTTCTAAACACAGGGGGCTAATTGCAAGCAGTCATGATACGTCTACCTCTTACTTTTCAAGTAGTTCCAGAGTTCCGCTTTCCACTGCCATAATCGATCTGCATATTATCCTCTGAAACAGGATAAGATTCTCTCCGCAACTACCACTTATAAGTAATCTTTTGGTTTGATTTCACTACTATGACGTAATCTCTGCATAAATATCAGGATCCCCTAACTACTCCGAACCATTTTCGGAAATAACTAAAGATTTCATACTATGGCTCTTTCATTATGACTCTATTCGAAAAGTGATGTCGTTTTTGGAATGCCTCTCACGAAGAGTAACTAAAAAGGTACTTAATCTAGAATATATGGTAGAGGCAGTAAAACTGCAAACTGTTCAGTACATTACGACTTTATGAGGATTATGACAATAATGTTAGATCCATTTTGAGGGTTTTGTGTATAAAACTCCATCCACGTATATACGTGTAATTTATCCCTCTCAATTCCTTCAGATGTACACTCTGTTGATCTTCTTGACTCTATTTGCAATGGTAATATTTTTGTTTTACTATAGTTTTTGTTTTCCAAGTGGGTTTTCTATACATAGATCTTTGTAAATAACCATCAGGCAATCTTTTCAAACGGACATCAAGAAAATGGAATTCGTGGTTCGATTCTGCCTCTAAAGTAAATTGAATTGCAGGGTGACAGTTATTGAAAATATTTAATATTTCATTGTGGTCCATGTCATCATCACAAATAATGAAAGTATCATCCATATATCGATAGCAACTTAACATCTAGACGTCAGCAAGAAATAACTTTGACAGTGCAGAAGAAAACCTTGTTTATGAATATAGAATTCAAGGGAGACACGGCTGCTGAAATCCTGAATAAACGGATTTTAAAAACGTTGAATAAAACTTTCTACACAGTCAAGCTCCGAATCGTTTTCTCTAGCCGGCCTACCATTCGGGGGTGTGTTAAGGATAAACTTTCGCTTTGGGCCACATCGATGTGTATTTATAAATTTACTTGCTCATGTGGAGCACGTTATATAGGCCGCACAAAGCGATCGCTTTCCAAACGTATCTCTGAACACTATCCAGCTTGGCTCCTAAAAGGTGAATGTAAAATGATAACCAGTTCGATACAAGGGCATTTGATCAATTGTGGACACATTGCTCCAAAAGACACGTGTTTTAAAATAATCTATAGAGTTAAAGGAACCGGATCAAAGGGAGGTCGAATCAATATTTTATGCGCTACTGAGGTATTGGCAATCCATGAATTCAAGCCTGAACTTTGCGTGCAGAAACGATTTGTCCAACCTCTTACCCTTCCTTGACCCTAATTCCCTCATTGGGTACGCTTTTTGGTTGGTTTTTTTCTGTACTTTTATCTGATTATTATCGGTTTTTTGTTTCTTAAATTACTATTTTACATTTAAACTCTAATCAGTTATTATTATTACCTTATACAAGTTTTCTTGAATATTACTCAGATTATTATTATTATGACCTTTGTGTTTGTCGCTTTTCTTCATATCTGTCAATTGAACTATTATCTGACCCAAAAATTATTTTCTTCCTTACCCCTTGATTAGTACGTCACCTCATTTGTTATTTGTCGAATCAATTTATAATGCAATAACTTCTAGCCTCCTATAGACATATATTTTTCATATAACTATATATACGAATGTACAGCTTAAGTAAATGATTTCATCGAAAAGAAAATTTTCTTCGCTGAATTCTCTTTTTCTTATTCAATAATAATAGTGATAACAATAATGATAAGAGAAGCAGTTCAGTTGAGACAAATACAACCTGAAATGATTCTGTCTCAACCAAAGACTGTGACACCAGTTAAATTACCATCGTTGAGCCTGAATACACGCCACCAAACTTCTGAATTACTGACATGATGTTGCCACTGGATGTCAGCAATACTTTGAAGATGTCGATGACGAAACTCAGAGAGTAGTCTAATATCATCAACCTGGAGATATCAGGACTCACAACCATAGGGAAAGACTGCTTTTATAGATGAATCGCAAATTTAGATTAACATCATGAAGGCGCCAAAGTTGGTGCAGATTATCGTGAGCGGCTCTCGATTTCATGTCTGGATTTCATTATATGCCAATGGACCTCACTATTCACGTCTCCACCACTAACGCAGCTACTCAGATACACAAACTTCTCAAAAACTTCTATCTGTCCATTATCAAGAGTGAGTGGACGTTCAGGGTCTTACCAGTCTTGTAAAAGTACTTTGGGCCTCACGAGAGCAAAGTACATGCCACACATAAGGACACTGATTGCTAACTGATTGAGTGTGGATTGAACGACTTGTGGTGTTTGTATGAACTAAGGATTCCTTCGTACTTGACGATTGCTTGGTTTGGAATCCCAAAAAGGCTACATTCGTTCGTGATTATCGAGTACTTCTTGAATAAAATGTGTTCTTTCTAGGATTCCTAGTTTGCATAACAATTAAAATACTCCTGATTATCATAATATTTCTGTGCCTAGCGTAGTCCAAAATCTGAGACTGATGCACGACATGCTGTTCGTTAACACCCAACTGACTATCTGAGCGAGAAAGAATAACGGGGCATCAAACTAATGTACAAATACTAATTAACACATATACAACTGTACACCCTGAGAAGATTAATCCATTTTTCAGCCAATGAGATGTACTTGTCCTTCAGGTCACTTTCGATTGCCATGGATCGACCTCACTAGGCTACTTTTGATTGGCTTACCATATCAAGTATCATCACACAGTAAAACAATATCACCAACATTCTCAGGGCCAAAAATTGTTTTTCTGGGTAACAGATCTATACAACCATCACCTATATTAATCAGAGCTATTTCCTGGATGCAGTCGATGGCAAAGTTGGAGAGGAATGGTGGAATTGTGCAACTTATCTAGCCATACTGCTGGTATGGAACAATAGAAGAGCTGGTTGTATGTCATAAATCTGTCTCAAGTGTTTGTACATAGAGCTTTCCTGATGTACATAAACTTCTGAGATACATCTTTCTTTAACAGACATTTCAAAGAACATTCCTGCCCGACTAGTCAAAAGTGACCCTGATGTGGAGAAATACAACAATTTCTGGCCTGCAATAAGTATGGTTGTGTTCTTGAGTTTGGTAGAGTGTAAAAGTATGATCAATACACCCTTGAACAAAACAAAAACCAGCTTGCTCCCCCTAGTCAATCTTTCTCGGGTTTTGAACAATCAATGAAGTGTGACGGAAGCCAATAATTTGAACCCAAACGAAAGTATACCTATCCCCCCGTTAGTTGCCGCATTATTGATGTGAACTCTTTTTAAAGACAAGGACGAGTATCGACTCATTCCAAGATGTTGAAACACTCTTTAATCGCCAAACATTTGTAAACAACTCAGTCAGTTCATTAACCAGGTCGTCATCATCTTTCAAAGTCAGAAAGGATTCCGGCGGTTACCGGATGCATTTGCTGCTTCAAACTCGTAAGCACACTCCACTCATTAGGCTTCACTGTCCTTACACAAGCTTCGTACCGGTTCATCACTTAATATTGTTTCATTATCGTCAAACTCGCATTTACAAAAAGTAGGATGACTTGCTTCAACAAATTATATGAAGGCTAGAGAAACCCAATTCGTTTAAGTGAAATATTTTATGAAGCTACAAGCCACTTTACTCCCGCGTTTTCTGTGGCGCTATTCATATAACTGAAAGAAACATGCTAAAAATCCCTCCTCAGCATTTCACTTGACTGTATTGTCAATTACTTGTTCCTTCACTGTGTCTTGTACTTTAACCTTTATTCAGGTTTCTTGTTAACTACACCTTATGTTCTTCAGTCTTCCCTGCCGTGGCTTTTATTTTGTGATCCTGGCTCAAGGTATGCCTTATGTCACTTAATTTACTGTTGCGTGTTGCCAGGCCATTGATAATGAGGTCTTGTTTGACTAAACTCAAGGTCACTGTTAAATTTTGACTGTCCGTTTGGGAAGGTTGCCAGAATCCTTGGAGATAGACATCTGATCTCACATTTTTGGGAATATTTTTACCGATTCCCAGGTATTAAACTCCGATTTATTAACTATTATTTTGTTGTATAGCACGTTAGTTTGTGTTAGAGAAACCCTTGACTGCATAGCAAAGTCTGAACCGTTCGAGATATTTTGTAATTTTGATATAAGTCATTCTATTTATTAAATTGGAACCGTTTATAATAAACGCAGTTTTTTTAATAAAATACAGAATAACGTAGTCTGTTGTAACCGAATAAACTTTGGTTCTTCAGTTCTGCATTCAAACCGAATATTGACATTTCGTTGTTTACAGTTCATCTGTTATAAGAATAAAACAAACTAGAGGGTGAGTCGTGATAAATACTATGAATGAAACAACATTACTGAATACAACCAGGCCAAAGTTAGTTAGAAGTGATGGAAAAAATAATAGTCAGAGTTTGAAATCCTGAGAGACGATGTGAGGTAGAACGAAACGGAAGATTACGTTGGTCATTAGGGCTGACAATAAAATACCGAATGTGCAAGAGAAAATTGGTTGAGAATTGTAATCCGTGATACTGTGGAGCAACGTCACAGGATTCAGTACCATGGTAATCAGTGACCAAGAACAGAATTCCGCAGCAGTTTAAGGATTATTTGTTGTCTCTAAAGTTTGACATACTCTGCCTGAGCATTAGGACAAGATAGTCTTGGAGTTTTGCACAAATCTCCGT